GAAAAATGAGCAACACAGTAGAGAAAGAAGACATTATCGAAAACTGTGACTTTCCTCATTTATCTTATTTACTTTGTTACACACTCCACACCAAAATCTTATTGATTATCTGAAAAACGTTTCGTACTCCCCATAAATTTAAACCAGATTTAGTTAAGTGAATGGTTCGCGCGGTTTAGCATTTTTTGGCTCTTGCTCCGCTAACTAACTTAAACAGGTTTGATTGATGGCGTTTCTAATAATTGTCTGCATTGAGCCTTTACCTCCCAATGAGGTGACATTCCTCAGTGGTTTGCGGATCATAGGTTAAAGTCAACTTGCCGTCGGGCTAACCGTGGAGGGTTTTAGTGGTTTTCCTCTCCATGTAAGGCAAATGGTGGTTAGTTCCTTCAAAAAAGTCCTCCACGAAAGCAAATTTCTCGCAATACTTGATCCTGGAGTTACCTTGTCTTCTGGATTGGGTTCAAAATGACAAGGCTGCGGAGTTGAACATTAGTAGTCGTAAACCTAAAATTGGGTCGTTTGTTCAACGACGGTTATAAAATAAGATTGTCTGCATCTCCTCTCGTAATCAGACCAGTCTTAATGTTTATGATATTCGCGCACGTCTACTGTGATTTGTCAGATTCAGAATGCGTTTTTGTTTATTCCTCGCTTAAATTTTCATTTTTGACCCCCAATTTGTTTGGATTTTTGTTAAGGATTCTAAAATACTCAATAATGGTAATCTTTGTGAAATATCACACACTTTTTCAATTATTATTTTTTTTTCAGTTATGTGCCCGACAAAATTCTTAAAATTTCAACTTAATTCGGAAGTCAAATATGTAGTTTGATTTATATAAAATATTGTATTAAAAATAAGCTTTCGAGAAAGCAACTTCTCCATGAATAATAAGTGCTTGAAATTTGTGATTTTAATTTTTTTGTAACTCCAATACATGTTTCTTACTTCACTTTTGACAAGAATTCTAAATATTTAAATTAAGGTTAAGTAGGACAGAACATCTTGTAAATATACATCAATATCTATGCTTTTTTACGTATTTACCATTATTTTATTTCGCTTTTTTTGCTATTAAGTTTCATATTAACATTACTGATGTTACAATTATTTTAGCAGTTTTCTGATGCATAGTCTAACATTTTTATGTAACCCTTTTTATTCCTCCAACTTTTTCTACCTACAATGTTCTGATAATTTTAAGATTAAAGCAAACCTTCTTGACTCTTGTTGAATCAATTACTAGCATAATGTCATTTATAAAATTGATACATTTTTGTAATAATACATATAATACAATTATAATAATAGATATAACAATTTTATGTGTATTAATCACAACATATCTATACTGAAATTTGTGACAGATCTCTAACAAGTATTTTTTTAACCTTGATAAAATTCAACAGAAAGGGGAAAAAAATAAATAAAGCGAAGAGCAACAGCCCGAAAAAACACGTAAATATAAAAATTATCAAATTTAATAATTTCTTTTCATAAAAATTATTAAAAATTTTTTTTTCATTGAGTGGTTCAAATATGTAAGACTATTGATTATACTTAAAAACAAAAGTTTAAGTTAAAATTAAAACTAAACATTAAACATAGGTTAAAAGAAATTTTAATTATTTAAAATAATCATGATGTTAACGGTGAGGTAAAAAATATTTACAATTAAAGTCCAAAATCAACTAAAAACTAAATAAAATTTAAATGTAAAGTTGGCTATCAGTTCATAGATAAAAGTTTCTCAAAATAGGAGACAGGGCACTCGCCCCCCCCCCTCAAGAGGTGACCCAGATTCGAATCAAACTGATGGCTTGTCGATACGAATCCTGCATCCAACTCGCTCCGACCAGAGTGCTTATGTTAAATATCTTCAGTGGTAGACGGATCATGGAGTCCCCTTGTCGTCAGGAAATTTTCGTGGTTTTCCTCCCCATATAGAACAAATGCAGATTAGTCCCACAAAGAATTCCTCCGTGGAGACAAATTTCTCCCAATACTTGATCCAGGAGTTCCCTTGTCTTCTGAATTGGGTTCAAAAGTGCAAAGGTTACGGAACATTGGTAGTCCTACACTCGAGATTGGGTCGACAGTTCAACGACGGATATAAAATAAAAATAGTCCTTAAATATTTGTCTTTCAATTTGTTCTCGGGTTGTCCGGTACTTTGGACAGTTAAAAAACTACGCCACTGGTTTTGCAAGATGTATAATATATGCTTCAAATTTTTTTTTATTTTAAAGAGAGTACGACCATTAACGGTCCATTAATATTATATTCTTTATGAAAAGAATATAATATTAATGGACCATTAATGGTGGTACTCTCTTTAAAATAAAAAATTCGAAGCATATATGTAAAAGTCCCGTAGTGGACTGATCGTTAAGACACGGTTCCCAGCAGATCACCGAAGTCAAGCATCACTGGCTGCGGTCAGTGTGCGAGTGGGTGACCACTTGGATCAGTCTGCGTGGGGACCGAGGGTGTGCGGTATTGGTCCTCGTTAAACTGTGCTACCTTAAAGTGCTAGACTTCGCACGCAGGTCGTCGGGCTATCGAAGCGGGGGTGCCATCCCCTCCGCAGAGGATCAAAATTGTAATGGCATGTCTTCGGATCATCCTCCGGGATGTTTCTCAGACCGTCGCCAATAGCCCATTGTGCAGCTCTAGTGCGACGTAAATTAACAACAACATCTTTTCATAAAAATTGATATCAAAGATTTTTTTTCCCATTGAAATTCTTGTTATGTTATAATAAATGATACCTGAAAACTCCTTTGCAGAAAGGGAAAAATTAAATTTCTCGAAAGGGAGAAGTCAGTCGAACACATAGTTGTATAAAAAGTACTTATTGCTATTACTCTGTAGTTACTTCTATCTGAAGGTGTATTTTCCCATATAGTAGAATCGGTAAGATAAATCGTTAGGTTATATACGCACAAAAAGTTTATACTCATTTGCACATCTTACATTGCCAAATAGATAAGTTAGTCGTTGATTATTGTCTCTTACATAATCGTATGAGTTCAAACACGAATCAAAGCAACTAATACTTCAAAAGTTGAAATGGCTTTCTTTTTCGATAATAAGTTCTATTTTTGAATAGCACTTATTATGAAAAAAACATTTTCAGCTTCAAAAATAAAAATCCCATCAAGTCAAAATTTATCTCATACAATTCAGTACAAATTTTTTTTTTATGGGGAAATGTACCTGACATGTTCATATAGACAGCAAAGTAAAAAGTGTACAAAATCATGTCCCAAGTGGTATTTTTTATACATAACAACGCCTGCAACTATTGTTTAGATTAACTCGTGCATAGTCTTATTCTACTCAACGTAAAAATATCAATAGGAGACAACGTATCACTTGTTTAGATAGCAATATCAGATGCATAAATAGACAATAGTACAAATTTGCACTTTTTGTACTTATAACTTTTGAACTATCAGCCTCATTAAATTCAGTGTGAAAAAAATTACATTGGAAACAATGCCTCACTTGACTGTCAAGAAGAAATTGAATTCTTCCTCAAATCACCCTCAGAAAAGGGAGAAACATAAAAAGAGAGTTAGGGAGTTTTCTGGTATCATTTATAATAACATCTCTCTCTCTCTCGTATGCCTGTAAACGCAGAGGGGTGCGATTGTTCTTGTTTTCCAGTGGCGCCATCTAATGCCAAGAATTCGACTTCTGTCACACCCGTTTACAGATTTAACGTGCATCAGTCACCATCTACTACACTGGGGAATCTTCGGCCGGCGGGGTTCGAACCCACGAACTCTCCGACATGGGCCCAGCGACCAACCGACCAGGCTATAACAACATATAACAAAGCTTTTTGCTTAGAAATATCTTAGTATTAATTCTCCCAATGAAACATATCTTTTTTCTTCTTTTTGCTTTAACTACTGGACTATGATGCAAAGCTGGGATAAAATACATTAGTTTCCAAAGAGGAATTAAAGCAAGCTAGAATTGTAAAGTAATTAAGAGATTGGTGGTCAGAGCCCTCCAGTCTATACAAATAAGTTAAAACATAGATTGAAATTTAATAACACTACTTTGAATAATACTACTTGAAATTTAATAATACATCACAGATACCATATTGATGCTTTGTTTCGATAGCATTTAATAAGTTAATTTTAATATTTATTTAGTACTAAGCTTCGATACTTTTTTTCCGACACTGTTTTTGAGGCTTTTTTAACTTTGTGCGTTTGACGAGCAAAGAAACTCTAAAATATACACCCTAAAAATTATGGCAAATAACTTAACCATAATTGCAGTTCTCAGTAAATCTATGTCACGTGATGCTTATAAGAGTCTTTCTCTTCTTAACTGTTATTTATTGTATAGATTTCTATATTATTAAAAATAGTAGTTTCAGTTCTCTATACTAGTATAAGTAGTAATTTAAAATCTCTATACTATTCTAAAAGTAGTATTCAATCTTTATATTCTTATAAGTAATCCTATATCTAAATTCACTGTCACAGATAAAATTCAAAACAACCTCGAGGGAAAAAAATTTTTTTGAAGCATTGAATGCATTTTTAATTATCTACTTTTGAATATTAACAAAGCACATTTTTCTCAATTAAAAAAAAAATTCAAAGAAGTAATTAACGCATATCCTGTATTATTCCGCAGTTATCCAAGAATGAAAAAGTGATATTTGGAAGAAAAAAAACATTCATCCTGTTTGATGCCACAGAAAGAAGAACATTCCTTGAAATGTAATGAAATTCCGTAGCCATCTTTTGGGAAACAAGAAAATGGAAATGTTTCTTCACACCCCCACCCCTCTAACCCCCCATTCAATGTCTATTCGTTTTATTATAAAGACGTCACCAGAAAGCTCACTATTCATGTCTTCTCCCCTCTCCCCCCCTGAAAACAGAAGTTGCTTCCCTAATGGCTAACTAGTGTTTTGACGTCAGAGTAGGGCGGCCGAATAAGGGGGCGGCCCCGGCGCTTAAAAGGGGGCGCGCTCTTCGACTCTTGAAAGCAGGTGAATCTTTTTCTGAGTTTTGATGAGCAGCCCTAGTATCGGCCGACACCTGTTGCCCTTCCTAACTGATTCCAGGAATTCCCGAACTGTGAGTCAATTCTTTTGTTTTCCTAACATTTCTATTTTTAAAATTAAAATATGGTTTTAAATACTGAGCACAGAAATTATAATTCAATTGTTTAATTCAAAGAATATAACTGTTGCTCTTGTTAAAAAAAATGAAGTAGAATGTAAGAGGAAAAATGAAGCTTAAATTTAAAATAATTAAATAGAATTTAACCATCCAAGCATTGAACTCATTTTATAATTTGATGATGAGTAAATTTTTTAAAGACAATAGTTAGATCCACAAATAGTTAAAAAAAAAATTATAATTAAAACGCATACGTGGTTTGGTGCCACAATAGTATACCTTCAACAGTAGAATAAATGATAGAGATGGTCAGGGCAATTTATCCTATTGATAAAGGTGTACCATTGTGATATTGAAACGAATCTAGGTTTTAATATAAATTTTTTTTTACCACTTTTGGTATTCAACGTAGTCTTCAACAAAATTTACTATTTTCACAATAAATTCCTCTCGTAATTTTATAATTTAAATAGTATTTCTCTTACTGTGATGAAATGATCCTGTTAAAATGAGTCTAAAACTTTTCAAATGTCTAGGAAAATGAAATGAAAATCCTTATTCATCAAATATTATTTTAACAGTTATGTATGTAACTTATTATACATGCAAATTCTGTTTACTACATTTAAAAATGAAAGTAAAATTATGCTACGTTTAAATCGTAGATAGAAACTGACATTTTACTTAAAATGAATTTTCTGTCCCTTCAGTTCCCAATTTTCAATAATTTAAAATGATGCAAAATTTTTGGGGGAATTTTTTTTTAAATAGATGGAGTGCATTGGGCGAAAAAAAAAATCAAACTTACTAGGGAATAGACAAACAAATCACATGCGTAATTGCATGTATTTAAACTGTGCAAGCTAAATTAATACTATTTGGAATGAGATTTTAAGTTAATTATTATTAATTAATTTTTTGCATAGTAAAGTCAATAATGGTTCTTTAATCGCAATAGTTTTATCGCAATAAACTATCTGAGTGATTGACAATCCAGTTTTTTACTTTTTCATCATAATCAGTGCTTACAGCTTTAAAGTACACTGGCGTAGAAAATTAAGAGGTCGATTATCTCTAGAATTAGTGGACAGATTTTAATGAAATATGATATGTACATACATTGATACAGTACAAAGCAAATAACCATTCAACAATTGTAATACACACGCATGATTATGCGTAACAATCGTTGGAGTAGGAAGGTATGAAATTACCACCGGACAATTGCCATAGGAAATGATAAACTGCCTTATTTCAAGTATGAAATCAGGCTGCAAGACCTGTATATCTGTGAGAGGGTACCATACCTCCTATTAACCCATTTTTTATTTGTTTATTCTGCAACTGCCGTTTCATACCTTCCGACGAGTGCTACGCACGATCATGCCTGTGTATTACAATTGTTGAACTGTTATTTGTTTTGTACTGTATCAATGGATGTACGTGTCAAATTTCATTAAAATCTGAGAGATAATCAGCCAAGTATGCAAATTTTCTTAATTTCTAATACCAGTGTACTTTATCTGATTATCTCCATTGGTCACTTTATCTGAAAATATCTTAAAGGTCTCTTTCAACAAATAATCTGCAATCAGGAACCAAAACGACTGAGCATCATTTATTAAGAAGCAAACTCAACTTTCAACTCTAATTATCATTTGGATGTGTTATTCACATGTAGGACAGAGCAAAGTATAGTTTGTCTGTGGTAAGAACTCCCCCCGCCACAAAGTCTGATGCTATCTGCTGCTATGGAAACAAGAATTTCAGAAAGGGTAGGTTCTCTTCACTCTAGGGCTAGACCGAAGAAAAAGACACCCTTTCTCTCGCCGACTCGAGCCCAGACCTGTCCTAAACCCCTGCTTGAAATAGTTATGTCTCGTTACCGTCCACACTAATGGCTAGGGGAGTTCTTACTTCAGACAAACTATATTTTTGGCTGCTCTCAAAATGTATTCATTCCCACGCATTTTTAAAAATTCTTTGTTTGAACTAAACTCATTGTGTCTGCTCATTAAGCTACTTTTCACGTGCATCTTATCTAACCCATGCAATCAGGGACAAGTCTCATTTAACCCATGGAAACTTATCTTATTAATTCATATCAGCAATGAAGCAAGTCTCAAAATCGCTGATGAAGCTTAATATTTATAAACATGGGTAAACGTACAGTAAAATTTTAATCAACAAATTAATCAAAAATAATTTTTAAAAAAAACGTTATAAAACACAAAATATGTGCCCTCTCTATGTACAAGTATTTTCTTTCTTTCTTTTTTTTGGCATAACAATAGTATTGACTAGGTTTCCAAGAATTTGAAGAAATATCGGTAGCCAGCAAACATTTTCGGTAGCCAGTAAAAATATTGGCACCTACTCAGTTTCTAGTTTTTTTTTTTAATTTTTATTTCCAAATTTGAAATTTTGCTTATTACATTCATGCATAAAAATCAAGTACTTACATTTGGAATGCTTAGTAAAAATAAATGCAAATACATATTACAATATAATGAAATGTTAAAAGAATTTCTAAAAGAAATCTCAAAGTAATAAAAATGTGTAATTTCAAAATATGTTTTTTTACCATTAAATGCGAATATTATTTGAGAATTTGCAATGGGCTTCATCAGAGGGTATTTTTTTTATTCGAATTTAAGTATTGAGAACCATTAATTTCATCAAACAAATCCGCGAGACCCGAAGAATTTGGAAGAAAAATTCTAAAATCACGCACAGCGTTCAAAAATTACGTAGTGGTTGAGAATAAAAACATATGTTTGTTATTATTTACCTAAAATGAAATTGAATCGGGTGTGCTTTTTTCATTTTTTTAATAGGGTGACGTTAGCTAAGATGTTAACTTCCGTACGCTCTTGTACGTAACGTTTAAAGCAGCTGCGCATGCGTCAGTTCTGGTGCAATGCGCATGCTCCCGTGAAAAAGTATCTATCTTACGTAAGTGAAAATAAGAGATTTTGCAAAACTCCGTAAGTTACAAACGCTAACGCACTGGAATATTATTTTAACACAAAATCGAAATAAACATTTACAATGTATGTAGACTATTTCTTTAAATCCGTGGCAACCGATTCAAAATGCTTCGCTCCACGTAAAACTACGGATCTGTGAGTGGAAAAATTTGGTAGATTAGTGATTTTGATGTATTCAGAGACAAAAAAGAAGTTTATTATTATTATTAATATTCAAAAATATATTATTGAACTTCTATTGAATATTTTAACTTTTTTTTAACGAAATTGTATAGTTTAAATATAATTTATAATTTTAAAATAGCGAAAATGTATCTAGTTTCTTATGGAACTAGTGCAATTAGACAACCGTAATGTTAAACAAAAAATAAAACTATTTTTTTATTGAATGAATCAATGGTTTTAAGATGATACGATTCATTTCTGAACGTCATTTAACATATTAACAGGAAACAACATTTAACAGCTATAAACAGCCAGCTTTTGGCCTTGTCTTTGTAGTGTAAATCACACCAACATAACGTAAAGATATGTAGCATCTAACATTAACGCGAGCAAGCGCAGTTGCTTTAATCTTAAGTACAGAAGAGTACGGAAACTAACGTAAGAGTGCTAAATCTCCTTAATACGTTTATTAGTACTCATTACTGTTTACTTCAGCAACAGAGCATTTAAGAAGCATTTAAAGGATCATCTTTTGAGGAGCTCAATTTTACACAGTCGTCATAAACCCATGTGGTTTTTTAGTTAGTACTACAGATTTCTGCATAATTTTCTAAAATCTCGGTATTTTTAATAAGTGAATTTCGAATCGCATATTTTGTTAATAACTTTTTTAAACACGGGGCTTGATTTTCGTCCATTTCGTCGTGAATTCTAATTGTTATTCGAAAATTTTTTCGATGGTTATACCAATGGATTTCTGCGTAATTTTAAAATCCCGATAAAATCAAAACTATTACGACTCACACATCTCGAATTATCTCCGATTGATTTTCAACCGCATTCGTTCCAGCTTTCATTGATTTTATCGTAAGTTCATGTGGCTTTTCACAAATTGTTACAGATTTCTACATAGTTTCTAGCAATCCCTATACATTTAATCAATTATGTAAGTGAATTATGAATGGTGAGTTTGAATAATAACTTGTTGATTGCACCGATTTCGCCTTGAAATTACCTTTTTTTTTACTACTTTTTAGTCGGTTAAACCCATGGTTTTCTAAATAATTAAAAAAAACGATATATATAAATCGAAATTATCATGAATCTTGATTCACAGAAGTTACCTTTTCATTTTCGACCAATATTTTGAACAGATTTCATCGTAAATGCATGAGGCTTACAATCATAATTTCGCAGTTATTTTCATGGTTTTCGACAGGATTTTTTTTAAATTACGATTTTTTAACACGGTATTATCACAACACTCGAAATTTGAAAAATGCGCAACAGTGCCAAGGTAAGGAAAACTGACATTTCTCTCCGATGATTGTTAAAAACATGAGCTCGAAGGGTAAAAAAAAAAATATATCGCTGAGTTAAATTCTCATGCCGATCTTTTTAGATAAATATCGAACTGCAAAAAAAAAATTCGGATCATGAGTGAAAAGCTAATACAGTCGCCACACAAAATTTATTGGTCGCCAATGGCGACAGCGTGATTGTATTTCACGAGCCCTGGTAATGACGATGTATTTATTTGAACAATTTCCTAATGCATATTTATGGAACTTTTAATGAAAAATTTAAACTCTTATTACTGAGAACTGGAAATTATACTTACAATTGCTACTGGGAACTATTATTGGAAAAACTTAATCCTTGATTATCGTTTATTTCATAAGTTCTTATTTGACTTTATTTATACCTTTTATCTGATAACATAAACATCCTTGTACCATTTTATCAATAATAATTGTACAATGAAAGTGTAGCGTGCACTTTAACCTTGGCTTTATAAAC